TTCCATTTTCCATTATCCCAATATGACCCCAATATCTGAAAGAATTTCAAGAAGATGGCTTCCTTCGAGTTTATTCCAGGCATTGAACTCACAAAGGCTCCGCTCAAAAAATGGATGGAGTTGCTACGTGACGACTGCCCAAATACCCCCGCCCAAGATGTCAAACGCTATCCTCAGGTATCTTGGGCAACTAGATCTCAAATTAGATGTTTGGTGCCTGTTTCATGTCAGGACGTGATTGCACACGCAAGGCCTTGCAGGCGCTTCTCCACTCCCACAGCAAGGACTTGCGCCTGCGACATTGCGGAGTCTGGATGCTGAATTGTGGATTTCTGCGGATCCCTCTTGGGGGTCTTTTTGGGTAGATGATGTGACAAAGGGGCCCTGATTTGACCAGGTACATGGAAAATGTCAGGCTACAAGACAGAAATCCACCGGCTAAGAGTATGAGGAAAACAGGACGTCTAAGGATTCCACTGCAGTCCCCATCCAAGCGCTTCAAAACCAGCAATCCTCAAACACCCTGGTCAACGCCTCGCGCCAGCTGCGCGACTTCTGGCCGTGGACGTAGAAGTGGGCGCGAACCCTCAGGGGAGCTTAAACTTTGCAAGTTGCAGCACGGTAGCTAAGGATGGTATTGTGATTGCAAAAACGAACACTAAGACAAGCGTGCCCATGTGTAGACATTCCCAACTTAATTTCCGGCATCGCATATGACTTCTACCCACTGCGCTGGACGTACAGCTAATCAGCCTAACTTTGAAGACAAGGCTACACAGGTTTAGGGTTTAGGGTTGAGGGAGGCTTCCGGTTCTATATACGAGGATGCACTGCCTTCGACCTTTCAGAAAGAACCAGCCAGAAGTGGTAGTCTCCATCATTAATAAGGGGACCCCATATAAGCCCCAATATACTAGTATCCTAATTATGGGGACCCCAAAAATGTACCTCTAATTGTTGGAATCCCCAATGCCTATGAATCCCTTACATCGACCAGTCTCCATTTCATTTTCCCTTTTCTTCTCCACGTGATTCTCCAGTATTGGGCTAGTATCACCACATCCCTAACTTTGGCCAACCCCTATACCCTAAATAGCAGCTTCCATTTGCTTTTCCATTATCCCTATATAATCCCTATATACCCTTATATAACCCCTCTTACACTAGGGTAATATCCTAAATAATTTGGGGAAACCCTCAAGTCTACATCAAGCAGGCAGCCTCTACACTCCGATACTCAGCTTCTCATCATGCAGCTTCGGCAGCGCAAGCAAAGTCTAGAGCCCTTAACCTCAGGACTAGGTCCTAGGGATATATACCTTAGGTGGACCCCCCACCCAGTAATAGTGACTATAAGGGATAATAAGGAATATATTAGGGTCCTCTCATATTCCTAGTATACCACTATTACAGGGTGGGGGGTCCTCCTAACATATACCCTAAACCCTAAATACCTATCCGGGACAAGAGGTTCTGAGAACTTTTCCTTGCCGACATGCTAAGCTGGATTCAGCTGAGCTCCCCAGATCTGATATAATTGGGGTATATATTGGGGTTATATTGGGATAATGGAAAAGAAAATGGAAACTACTATAGTATACTGGGGTATATATTAGGGTTGTATTAGGATAATGGGAAAGAAAATGGAAACTACTATCGTATAATGGGGTATATATTGGGATAATGGAAAAGAAAATGGAAACTACAGGTATTATAGGGATTATATAGGATGTATATAGGGATTATGGGGAATATATTGGGGTTATATTGGGATAATGAAAAAGAAAATGGAAACTACTATAGCATAATGGGGTATATGTTAGGGTTATAGAGGGGTAATGGAAAAGAAAATGGAAACTACTATCGTATAATGGGGTATATATTGGGATAATGGAAAAGAAAATGGAAACTACAGGTATTATAGGGACTATATAGGATGTATATAGGGATTATGAGGAATATATTGGGGTTATATTGGGATAATGGAAAAGAAAATGGAAACTACTATAGCATAATGGGGTATATGTTAGGGTTATATTGGGGTAATGGAAAAGAAAATGGAAACTACTATCGTACAATGGGGTATATATTGGGGTTGTATTGGGATAATGGAAAAGAAAATGGAAACTACAGGTATTATGGGGATTATATAGGATGTATATAGGGATTATAGGGAACATATTGGGGTTATATTGGGATAATGGAAAAGAAAATGGAAACTACTATAGTATAATGGGGTATATATTAGGGTTATATTGGGATTCGTAGTAACACGAATCCGTCACCATCACATCCAGCAAGCGAAGACTCCACACATTCCCAACTTCACCATCCATGGTCATGTTGTGCCTGGAGCCCACAGCCAGCCCAGCATGATCACAGACGTCCTGACCAGCTTTTCCAAAACATCAGGGAGCACAGCTAAGAAAATTGCTTTTTTTAGGCTTCGATGCCGGATTCATGTCGTCCTTCTAGATGCAGGGCTAGCTTCAGCTATTGCGTGACGCGCAGGTTAAACGTGCGGCTTTGCTTTCAGCCGTCCCTGCACAACACTGCTTGTCCTGAACAAAGACAAGCACAGTATTCTAAGATGCTCCGCAAAAACCCGGCGCCTTCCGGCTTGACGAGATCCGCAAACGGCGGTGCTCAAAAAGCTGCTGAACTCCTGGTGGGGACAGGAAACATTTTAACATATGTGCGCAGACGCCCTGTCATGATGTATATATTTCCTAAGCGGTCAAGGACCAGTCGGTATGCAATGCTGGCATGCTCAGTCATATCTCTGCAGATGGTATTAATGATTACTGCTGCTTTCCGTAGTGCTGTCTGTCATTCTGGCTGTTGGTTGTGGAACCTCCCATGCGCCCCACGAAGCCCTGGAAGTCGCTCAAAGTGATGCGACCATCTTTGTCCTTAGCACAAGGTTGTGAATCAGAGTATCCTATGCCGTGCGCATCGCAGATGTTGGGTTTGGTGGTCTGCGAAAAACGAGTTGTCAACTACCGTGAGAGTGTTACAATCTCCGAGTCGCAGATTGGAAGCTACTCAGCCAGAACGTAAGACTCTAGGATCTGCATCTTCATTATCTTCATATCCCTTGCCAGGTTGTGAATGCCGAAGCTCCAGATCCATGAGACTCGCCTCCTCCAAGCCCCAGCCGAGGTAGGCGCACCTGGGAAGGCTTTGGGCCACTAATAGTACTCATAATAATAATAATGTTAACAGTAATAATAATAATGTTAATAATAGTAATAATTATAGTAATAATAGTAATAATAGTAATAATAGTAATACTAATAATAATAATAGTACTAACAGTACGAATAGTAAAAAAAAATAATGAGAGTAATAATAGCAATAATAGTAATAATAGTAAGCTACTCCGGCATCTGAGTGCTTGTTCCGGTGCTTGTTCCAGCTTACACACTTCAAATACAGAGTTCTCTGACACTCCAACACCCACTAGAGAGCACGGTGTGATGTGTATGGGGTCTGCTGTCCCTGAAGCTCCAACAGTGATTGATTGGTCTTAGAAGTTCGCTGTTGCGAGGCCAGTCCTTCACATATATAGTCCCCCTTAAGGTTATATTGGGGTTATATTAGGGTTATATTGGGGTTATATTGGGGTTATATTAGGGTTATATTAGGGCTATATTGGGGTTATGCAAGCAAGCAGCATATTCTTGCACTCGTTGGCATCCAGATGCCCGGAGGAATCAGCATCAAAGCGCCTAAAAGCCTAAGTTGCCGAAATTCATGGAATGCTAAAGCTAAGCCAGCAGGTTCAGACCCCATGGCGGCAACCATGAGGAGATAAACAGTGTCATGCTACTCGCTACCCTCAGTTCAGAATCAGAAATTGATAGTGATGTTGCATATTGTCAGATGGAATACGCGGACCACCATGCCAGCAACAGCACAACTAAGTCTCGTAGAAACGATGGCTCAGAAATTCCTACTTGTAGCGGCTACACCTCCTCGTTCTTCGTAGGGAACAATCTAAAATGCTGATGAAGACCGGTGATTATATGAGCTATAGCCTAAACTCCAAGTACCCCCCTTAATCACCCATATAATAATCCCCTATATAATCCCTCTCATAGCCCCCCGTTTAGGAGTTTAGACTCCAGCTCATACGGTAGTTTCCCCAAAATAAAGGGACCCCGATGTAGACTCCAATAAACTAAAATGCTTCTTCTAGGAACCACACCCCCAAAAAAGGCACCCCTAACTTGGGGAAACCCCCAATCCCTGTAAATCCCTTACATAAACCCAATGTCCATTTCATTTTCCATTTTCTTTTTTTTAATTGTATTCTCCATTTTTGGGCCAATATACTATTATCCCTAATTTTTAGGAAGCCCCCCAATCACCCTAAATCCCTGACCCTAAATCCTAAACCCTGAACCCTACGTATGGTGGTTTGTAGGCTAGGATTGGATGAGTAGTGCTTTTTTTGGTGGTTGAACCTAGTAAGATAACGTTCCTTATACAAAATACTATACCCCAAAAGGAGGATAGAATCTTTCTCTATATTGGCTACCATAGTATCCCCAAATAAAATACTACTCAGATGTGAGGGCTCGGCCTCGGCAATCTGGCGCTGATCCGTCCGCAAACCTTGGCGTTGAATTTGGGGGCCTGGTTTTCAGGTTTCGGGCTCAAGGTTTATAGTCCCCCTTAAGTAGATAGAACATGTGGTTTTATAGGGGTTATATGGGGATAATGGAAAAGAAAATGGAAACTACAACATTATAATAGGGTATGTATTGGGGTTATAATCCCCCTTAAGTAGTTAGAATATGGCGTGTATGGGGATCTTATTATAATATACCCAAAGCCATATTCTATCTACTCAAGGGGGACTATAGGGTATTGGGCTTAAGGTTTAGGGTGTAGGGTTCGCAGCATTGCGCCATGCATGCAACTCGAGGACAGCTAGAGAGGCTCAACATATCTTACAGGCTTCTTGCTAAACCCTAAACCCTGAACCCTAAACCCTAAACCCTAAACCTTAAACCGTAAACCCTAAACCCTATACCAAAAGCCAGGTAGGGACCATTTTGCCTGGCGGCTTTCCACCATACCTGGGGCCCCATAGTTTTGAGACTAAGGCCTAGTCAGACCCGTGAAGAACTCTGTGGGCCCTGGCTGGCTATGAGCCTCCGCAGCGAGTCCTGCTGAAATGAATTACGCAGCTTAGGGCTTGTGACTAGACAATGAAGGGTGGTTTTAGGGGTCTCAGGGGCTCATCACAAGTGGGTGATACCGGCTTGTTTGGGTCTAGGGCGGATGCTCTAAGAGATGTTGCGTCGTATCAGGAAATCCCAGAACAGTGATGCGTTGACTGAGGTGTTTTTTAGCTGCGAAGAATTCCGAGGACCTACAAATTCAAGCCAGATGAAGTCGCACATCCGGGCTCTCGTGACTATGTCCATGATGTTTGGGAGCGTGGCAGCCGTCCAACAGCTGCACCTACTGCTTTTAGGCAACCCATGCACGGTCTTCATAATAGTTTCCATTTTATTTTCCATTATCCCTATATAACCCCAATATACTATAGTTGTTTCCATTCCATTTTCCATTATCGCAATATAACCCCTATATAACCCTTGGAGGGGTCTTCCAGCAGGTCTCGGGCGTTGTGTTCAAGATCCCGTGGTTTGCAAGATTTCCGCTGGTGTTGACATAGAACAACCTTTAAACTGTCTGGGGTTTGCATGGATTGACGCATGCCATGGACGTTTCTTGCCTAACTCTTGCTTGGCCCTAAAAGCTCTTGTTCCTCTAGCAAGGCATAGTGATTACGGTGCCAAGGTGCTTTGACAGGAGAAGTCTGCCATTTTGAGCAATGCATGCAGCAGGTGTAGACAGGTGTAGTCAAGATCCCTTTCTTGAGAAATATGCGGCTCCTGGGCATCGCCAAATTTCTTCTTGACGAAGGATTCGCGACACCTGTGTGGGGGGCCTATGGTAGTTTCCTAGATAGGGGGGCCCCAAGGCAGATCCCGATATAGTATCTTCCTTACTATGCGGACCCCCAAAATGGCGCGCAAAGCATAAGTGGATTCTGCAACTGCACAAGTGCTGCATTCGACATTGTTGAGAGGGTTCACGTTGGATAGCTTTCGGCCTGCCTGTTCACCCAGTACTGGAGCGGATGGGCTGCAGAAGTGGTGCCAGGCTCAAGATACCTGGTTGGCAAATCATGCGTCCGGTTTGTAGAGAGTGTGCGAATAGACTATGTTGACTTGCGCAAAGTCAAGGAAGTCTCTTGGAACGACGAACGTGGCTAAGGAGAGGTCATACTTCTGTGGACCTACTTGGGCGCAAGCAGCAGTTCTTTGAAATATGCTCTGTTTGTTCCGAGCGGCGGATGTGCCCTCAGCAGCTCATCTAGCTGTAACATAAAGCTGGCCTGCACCCAGGTGTCCTGACAGATATAGGTCTTCTGGGGCCCTACGGCAGCTGCTGGCCCGAGTGTAGGATGTCACTTGCTTCTGCAGTGCTGTGGTCTTGTCCGCCTACCCCTTGACTCAAGTAATGGTGCCATGAAGGAGGACGAATTGCAGACACCAAGCAGGGCAGGAACAGAACACTCCAAGCCGAGGCTTGCCTCGAGTGTGAGGTTCCCGCTGTAGAGCCTTGATAGCTCGTCTGGAGGGTCTGGGTGATATGAACCATCGTTGAAACTCCTAGTATCCCCCCTAAGAACCTTTGTCATGGTTCCCTGTCAAATCCACTTTCTAATCCCTTAAGGGAGTTTAGATTACAGCTCATATGAAAGACATGTTCAGAGCCTTGTGACATTCAGGGCTTCGAATGACCGTATGTACCGCCGACCGCCAAGAATGCGGTCAAAGCAATTGCCCAATCTGCTCTCAGAAGAATGGACTACACAACAAGGATGTTGCTGACCGTAACTTACTGGGGGTTGGTACAGAATATGGGTATTGCATATCAGATTATTTACGGATGATATTCCCTTACTCCCTACTAACAACCAGTGAGAAAAACAGGGCCGAAAAGAGACAGTCATCCTACACGGCTCCAAGCGTTCAAAAAAATTATCCGCCAACGGAGCCCAGCGTCTGTTCCATCATGCTACCCGTGCCCCGCTCCATCTCGATGCTCTTGACCTCCGACGAGCTGGCTTTTGAGATGGGCTTCTCAACTAATTAATGACGTAGCTAGTCCTCAACAAACGTTTAGGATCTGAGGGCAGTATATGTCATGAAGGCGCTTCCTACGAAAAACAAAGCATGGGTCCAGGACTGAAAATGAAACCACACACTATTAATCGCCCAAAAAGACTAAGGTTCCGTCACCCCTCCAAAGAGACCCATGTAATTGCATGCTAAACCCTAAACCCTAAACCGCTTGGCACAACCCAGCTTCCGCCTCTGCAGGAGGCGGAGGCGGCGGCTCGTCCTCTTCGTCTGGGAAGATCCAGGACAGAAAGGAGCTGAGATGGATCCCATCCTCCTGCGCCACCGACTGCACGGGATGAAGAACGCATGGTGTTATGTGGTAACAACTTAGGCTCGTGGATTCATTGTAGAGTGCATTTAGTTTTAACTTAAAACAGGCCCCATCCTCCGCAGCATCCGGAGGCCTTAAAAGCTAAGAGCTTCCTCAACTGCGCTGGATTCAGTAGCTCGGGGCCTTAGGAATTGTGAGACTGACTTCTAACCTAGCCCGAATTAATCAGCCCTCGTAGAGGCCATGTGCCCTCTTCTGTGTTGCTGTTCAGGAACAACTAGAATTCATAAGGAAACCCTAACTAGCTACTATGTACCCATATTATGGTAACTTAATCTAAGTTCATTACCAGTAACAGCAACCCAGTATTTTCCTGTTCGAATGACAGGCTCTACAAACTGGCCTCAACTGCACCCGAGGCAGCAGCCAGCGTCTGAACATGTTGCTCCTGCTGCAGGGCTCTAAGCCTAAAACGACACATGCAACAGTCCAGAACAGTCGAAAATTGCTGCTAGCTTGGGCTAGCATGCCGAGCTAAGGTGGAGAAAGGCAAAGGTCATTTGAACCAGGAGGTACTGCATCTAACGCGCGTCGAAGCTTGTAGCGTTTGTTGGGAAGAAAATGCAAAAAGAAAATTCCTCATTCCAACTCCTGCCGAGTACGAGCTACACGTGCTTGTTGCCTTTCGGTGTGTTTGCTTGCTAGTTACTACCTGAACCCCAAAAGTATGTAGAACAATTGCCTTTTGGGCTATATTAATGGGTTTTGGGTTATTTTTACCTAATTTTCAATTTTCCCCATATAACTCCAATATATAATAGTTTCCACTTTCTTTTCCATTATCCCCATATATATATATATATAACCCCAATATACTGTTAAAGTAGTACAGTAACTAATTTCCCGCCCAGGCGCAGGAATGTCTAGGGCTGCCAGCACGGCAGACAGGTGGACAACCTGCAGGAACTCAGCATGTTCACTTCTCACGGTCTTCCACTCTGTATACACGCATCCAGCCCATCTCCAATAGTATTGCTATCATCATTTTTGTTATTACTACTAGATTTACTAGTAGTATGGCTATAATTACTATAATTGCTATTATTACTACTATTCCTATTATGCCGGCCTGTATCTTATCCTGCTCGTCCGCGAGGCCTGCTTGTCGAACACTGCCTTGCAAGGCATCGAGCTTAGCTGTTTCCCAGTACCAGTACATTGCAATCAAGAGGTGGCAGAATGGGAAAAAAGGACCGT